AGACACTTCTCGGCTAGAACCTTCATATCTTGCAACTGCTAATCCTTGTGAGGCACCTGTAGCTGTAGTGGCAAAATTATGGTCCCTTTAAGCTGATTTCGTTGGGACATCGCGTGATAATTGCGGTAGCGGCATGGAGGTGTGTGGTAGTAATACGGCGTGAGTGATGATCGTCGAAGTAGTTTGGAGTCGGGATTTCGTCTCACAGGGGGGCTGGACGATGAGGTTTGTAGTGAAGGTGTCTTCGATGGTAACTGAGAAGAACCTTATGACCTGACGTTGCAGGAACGATTTGTATTAGGTCGGATGATGAGTTTTTCGACGGCAGACGAATCTCTGCAGATTTCTTCAAACGTGTTTAGAGATCCATTACTTTAGCTTATTCTCCATTGTCCACGATCGAGTGCGGGATCGCGGATGAGTGCATTTTCTCTTTTTCCGGAGATTGTCTTCATGATCAGAGCGGAGTATTCACCTATGTACTGTTTGCGTAAAGTCGTTAGTATTCTTATGCTCATCGTGTCCATAAGTTGGATTACAATTATGAAGTGGTTGTGTATTCACGATGGCTTCGGTTTCTTTTATTACGTCTTGATGTCATCATGTGGTAGTAGGCGATTGCGTAGGGAATGCCCGTAGGGTTTTTTGTGAGAATGTCGGCCTATTTTTTCATATATTCCACCTTGCCATGGGCTTAGGCTTGATATGAATTTGAATGGAATGTTTTTGTGGAAAAAGTTCAAAATGTCGTTATATACGGTAAGTTTTCGGAGAATGGGTTTTATTACTTCAGTCAGAGCGAAAGATTCCGCAGAATACAAATAGAACTAACACAAATTCAACATGCCCAGAGCCTACATCGAAAAGAGTGACAAATGTAGGTGTAGAATTTTGATAGAGATCATTCTGTGATTGTACAGAAGTCACTTGGTTTTTGACCTTGGTACATATTGGGTCTTTTCTTCGGTTTCGCACCTTGACGAAAATAATGGTAGTTGAGGTAGACTACAGCTCCATTGAGTGCCAATGGAAGATTTTTCGTCAATAGAATTGTACAGGACGTTTTGCGGTAAGCGTTCATGAAGATTTGCCAACGTTTTTTCTTTCCACCCCCCCCCCCCCCGACACTTATTCTTCTTCGATGGAATTGTAGTAATCAAACTCCGGGTCGCCAATAATGATCTAAAAATAAATTGAGCTAGAGCACTCAAGGTTTGCGAAATTCTTTCCCCAGTCCTCAAAATCAACACAACATTGTAACATTTAGTAGAGCTTTTATGTTGAAAGCGCAAAGCGATCAAGTACTCTCGCGACCATCGTTTCCAAAAGGATGTTACCAATGTCGCTGTTCTTCTCCAGTCTTCGGTGGATCGGTGTCCACTTCGGGACATTCCAACGGATGTGTTCCACTGAGCCCTGCGTGCGGTCTCCAAAACATTCAATGTGTTCAACGTGGTAATATGAGTCGTCGTCAGAGGTTGAGCGGCTTTACTCTTCGTGATTGCTTCGCCCAATTCGCTCCTTCATCGCTCTTTGCCGCCTAACGAGATTGCAAGCAAATTTGAGAGTGCGACTGTCCACATTCGATAGATGGCAGTAAAAGCCGTTGACTATGAATAATCGGAGATCCCCTTCAGTGTCACAATAAAGCCTTATCGCTTACTGCCTGACATCGCAATCATCTGGCGTCCATGGCAGGAGTGCGATAGATTCTATAATGCTGCATCTATCTATTCCGGTTTGCACAATCGCAATACTCATCCTCCGAAGAGAAGAGTCTCAACATCATCATGTGCGAAGCGGCTTCCCTATAGAGGTGCAAAGAATACATAGACAACTCTGTAGAAGAGTTGTATAACAGTGCTTTCTGTTTTGCGGATGCATCAAAGCAATAATCACTGCGGAGTTAACCACACCCTCACTCTCTCCAGACAATCCGTGTGTATTTAGAGGGACCGGCAGATCGGGCTAATCCGTTTAATTAGGACTTCAAAGAAGACGAGATCGACTTCTGCACCGACAAACGGATCCAAATGAAGTTTATTCTCATCCTCAACCAATGGCAGGGCGGAATTTACCAAAAAATGATTGTCTGCAATCGGCTGCTGTAAATTGATGACATGAAAACCATAACTAAAGTGGCCGAAGCAATCGACAGTATAAGGCCGCTCACCTCTGCACTGACGACTAGTCATTACCCCTTGAGACCTACTGATTTTTGGAGACCGCACGCAGGGCTTAGTGGAACACAGCCGTTGGAATGTCCCGAAGTGGACACCGATCCACCGAAGACTGGAGAAGAACAGCGACATTGGTCACATCCTTTTGGAAACGATGGTCGCGAGAGTACCTGATCGCTTTGCGCTTTCAACATAAAAGCTCTTCTACAATGTTATAATGTTGTGTTGATCTTAAGGACTGGGGAAAGAATTTCGCGAACTTTGAGTGCTCTAGCTCAATTTATTTTTAACGATCATTATTAGCGATCCCAGAGTTCGATTACTAGAATTCCGCCAGAGAAAAAAAACTGTGAGAAAAAACGTTGGAAAGTCTTCAATGAACCTTCGCCTAAAACGTCAGTGTACATATTCTATTGACGAAAAATCTTCCATTGGCACTCAATGGAACTGTAGTCTACCTCAACTACCATTATTTCGTCAAGGTCTGCGAAACCGAAGAAAAGACCCAATATGTACCAAGGTCAAAAACCAAGTGACTTCTGTACAATCACAGAATGATCTCTATCAAAATTCTCCACCTACATTTGTCACTCTTTTCGGTGTAGGCTCTTGGCATTTTGAATTCTTATTAGTTCTATTTGTATTCCGTGCAATCTTTCGCTCAGAGTGAAGAAATAAAACCCAATTGAGAGTTGGAATTCCATCAGTGGTATATAAACGCACGATATATGAATGCATACCTCAGGCAAGTAAAGTTTTATTTACAACTACTACCCCTGTCAGAACAAGTGGCGACTACGGCACGATGGAACATTCTCCGACAACTTCGCCGATAACGAAATTTTCGACTTTTGTTTCAACAAACGATTCCATTCAAATTCATATCAAGCCTAAGCCCATGGCAAGGTGGAATATATGAAAAAATGGCCGACCTTCTCAAGAAACCCTACGGGCATTCCCTACGCAATCGCCTACTACCACATGATGACATCAAGACGTAATAAAAGAAACCGAAGCCATCGTGAATACCAGGCCACTGACCTAATATCGGATGAAATCAGTTAGATGCCTTTACGTTAAATTGAATTTCTACGTCCATACACCCAAATAGCTGAACCATTTACGAAAGGTGTTCCTCAGGGATGGAATCTAATTGTACCACTCAGTACACTTCTGAACACATGAGTGACCACTTCTTGATTATAATCCAACTTCTGGACACAATAGACATTAGAATACTAACGTCGTTACGCAAACAGTACATAGGTGAACACTCGACCCCGATCACATGAAGACAAAAAAGAGATAATGCGCTCATCCACGATCCAGT